CACACAATACACAGTATCATGTGAATGAGGCAGTGAAAGACTGGCTCCCTTGGGTGTATCTGTAAGAACAAGTTTCTTCTTCTTTCCTACACTTAGTAAGATTTCCCTGCCATAAATCTGTGGCAGCCTGTGGCGACATTTTTGGGATTTCTTGAAAGTTCATGTAAACACCAGTTCAGAAAGAATATGTTCTGTTGGCTCAGGGTATCCAGGTAAGCTGCGAAGTCCTAAAGCATTAATGAAACATCTGTCCAATTTTGATTCAAATTATATGTTACAAATAATTAAAAAACAATGCTGTGCACTTCTACAGCACCTCGTGTCTCCATAGTGCTGAGATAACAGAAGCCTGAAACATCCTTGTGTGGTTCAAGAGGTGTAACTCAAACCAGAGTCATATTTTTATTATAAATTTATTTCCAAATGTGTGTCATGTTATATATTATCTCTAAAATTAATCCATTTCTAATATTGATTTCTTTCCAACAGCGTATTCTGAAAAGCATTACTCCAGAAACAGCTACAGAAATTCCTTTTGGAGACATCCACATGAATGCAGTATAAGCTAACCCGTTTTCTGGGCAGAGAGAGAGGGAGCATATTATGTAGCTTTCCCCATACTCTACCCCTCAAAGAATTTTATTTCCAGCTGAGACAACAAGCGGAGGATTTTCTGTGGAGGTTGCGTCACTGACAACAGGCATTTGGAAACCTGATGCCTCCAGCACATTTATCCAAGCAATTCAATGAAATCTACTGTGCACTTCTAACCAGACTGAACTGACTGAGAACCGATTCACTCTGGAAACACAAGGACGTCCGTGTGCATGAGAATACCACTACTCCACGCGTGGGCACTGGGGCTGTTTGAAAGTGTGCGTGACTGCACAGGCCACTCTAGAATGAGTACCGGCGAGTAGGGTTAGGTGTAGAATCCCAAGTCTGTGGCAGTACCCCTGTATCTTCCTCAATGTGATCGTTCGTACTGGGCAATGTCGTATTCGCTTCTGAGGTTCTAATTGCTTAAACTACATTGAAAAATACAAAAATATTTCTGATAGCCATACATTACTCAAGTAACACAGGGTTTTATAAACTAAAAAAAAAAAGAAAAAAAAAAGAAAAAAAAAAAGAAAAGTAAATTCTTCAATCCCTAGGTTTGTAGTGGAGTAGGCAGAGGAAATGGTCCTGAGCAGCACTACATACAGCTGTGCAGACATCAGCACATACACCTGGCAGCATTATCTGCCTTTTCATTTCCTGCATTTTGTAGATGTTGTACATGGTAACAGTTTCTGTTCATTGTTTCTTGCGTAACACATACTACAAAAGCATTTTTTGTAATGTTGTAGGCTTCACTGTCCCTTAGACCCTGTCAAGCCACAGAAACTCATTATGGGTTACTTGACTTGAGTTCAGTTAACTTTAGGTCTCAAGCACAACTTCCAATAAGGAAATAACTTGAAGGGACAAGGACTGTTCTTTTGGAACTACAAACAAGAGACTCCTGAACTATTTTTAAAAAGGGAATATGTTCTTTCATTGCCAACAAACATGATAAACCTGTCTTAATGGACAGTTACTCCTAAGAAATAGTTTTGTAGCTTATTGCTCAAGTATGTTTGAAAACTACTTCCAATAATGGCTTCATTGTGAGGAAAAGAGGAACAGTCTGGGAATTCTTGTAATATTGGAAAGCCATTTAGTAATTAAGTTCCCAATCAGAAAATTACTGCTCTGTGAAAAAATAAAATTTTCTGTTATGAATTCAGTAGTTGAAAAAATACATACGAAATGTCAACATAAGATGAATGAGGTACAATATCAAGTGTGGGAAATAAAGTAGAAAACCCTACTTAGCTTCTCCAGTCTTCAGACGGTTTTCAACTAACACTAGGTATTTTTCCTCCTAAATGGATAAGTACTTAAACAGATAAATCTTACAAATGGAATTTCTTGCCAGACTTGATGCTGTTTCATGTTAGGCTCATTAAAAAAACCAAAACAAAACCAAAATGCCACTCCTGGGACCTCTCCAATTTTTAGTCATTTACATTTACCCACTGGCAAAAGCCTCTTTAAACAGATATTCTGCTAGTTTTTATTAGGAAGGGTTAAGGTGGGGACAGTTGAGTTAAATATGAGCATCATCTACATCAAAGCCAAAGTTTCTCTTTCAGCCTTTGCAAACAAACTGAAACTGGGAACAGTATTTCTAATGGAATAATTTGCAGAGTAATAATTGCAGGAATCACTGTTGTTTAGTGTGCAATACTACTGATGTTATTCTTTTATTACAGCATTCAAAATGCCAAAAGATGCACCTTCAATTTGTATTTTTAAGACACTAATATATGACAGACATTGTCTCTCTGGGTAGTTTTAGCACAGGATGCTGAGCAACTTCCCAAGAAATGCCACTGTTTCTGAGGGGATTACAGGTCAGCCAAGAAGCCCTGATATTAATACAAGCCCTGCAACAGTCGCAGTGTGAAACAGGGAAAGGTCTCTCAGCTTTAATTTCTCAGTTGGAAAATGAGACTAATGCACTCTGAGTACAGATGTACTGGGAGGTGAATTTTTAAAATTATCTGAAGATATAAAAAGCCATGTAGACATGCAAAGTCACAGGAAAAGTATTTTTAGAAATATGCAGTCCAGAAGATCATTCATGATGTTAGATCTTCACCCTCTTTTCACCAGGATAATCCAGTCTGAGGTCTTTATGGGAACAGGGGGCAAGGAAGCCCTCCAGAAGTGGATTGGAAGGGCTTTTCTTTTCCTGATTAATACAAAGATAAAATACATTCATGTTTTCATTCTATAAAAGCTGAACTTGCAAGGCAGTTTTGTTCCCTTTTTTGTTGTTGTTGTTGTATGACATACTAGTTTGAAGTTTTCTAAATAATTTTCTAGTATCTCTATTTAACTGAGTGGTTGAAATATTGAGAAATTGCTTTCATTTATTTTTACCATTGTTTTTCTTCCTTTTACATACCCATCTGAAAACATTTAGAGTAACCAATATTTATCAGGTAGCTCAACAAGTAGCCATACATTAAATGTTGTTTTTGTACAAAACCTAGTTATATTGATACTAAATGGGCTGCACTGCAATTAAAAGTGTTCTGAGGCAAACAAATTCCTTCTCCTCAGCTCACCTTCCACTTGTCTATCACATGAGTATGTCCTACCCTCTATTCTGAACAGTGAAAAGAAATTTATGAAACTGGTAAATTAGGAATATGTTTGCCTTTTAAGCAAAGAGAATTAAACTGGAGTTTTAGCTGTACAGAACTAAGTATTCCCTCCAACTTGTACATGATGCTCCTGTATTAATTTATGCGGCTGTTTAGTTACAAGTGTTGCAAGCTGATTGTAAGTCATCAGTATGTGCCTTGTACTGTAAACTGTTATTGTAATAAATTTAATATTCATAATCCATCTGGAGACATCTCTTGTGCCTCTCTCTTACAGGAAGAGCAAAGATAAAACTCAATTCCAAGAAAAAGCAGAATATGGTGTAGTTTACTACACCAACAAGGCCTCTTTGGCAAAAAGCAGAGGATTTCTTCTAGTGTTTGGACCCTCAGCCCACTGCTAAATACTCTTTCATTCTATTCCAACAGAAGAACCAATGCACATTACATTTATTTAAACAGAACAGCAAGAACAAACTGATCCACCCTCAGAGTAAGCGCTTAGCTACTCCATTACCTTACACACAAAATCCATTCCATTTCAAGTCTTTGTAAATTGGCAGGCTTGGCATTTACTTTTACTCACATTTTATCTTGTTACGAAGTCTGCTGAACAAAATATTAGAGAAACACCAATTTCAAAATATTTTTTTTATATTAGCTCACCTGACTGTAGCATTAACAGTGACAAATTTGCTAAAAAACAAAGTGAAAGAAATCACCATGAAAAGTGTTGAAAATGTATTCTGAAAGCTACAACTATTGTCAAATATCATTGTCAACTATTGTCAAATATCCTACTTACCAAGTTATAGTTTGGAGATAACATTATTCTTGATTATGAACCTTTGAACAGACAGATTGACAAATCTAAAATATTACCTCCAGTAGAACAAGCAGATACGGCTGTAATACATGAAAAAAGACTCACATACCTAATTGTCAAATATCATTGTCAACTATTGTCAAATATCCTACTTACCAAGTTATGGTTTGGAGATAACATTATTCTTGATTATGAACCTTTGAACAGACAGATTGACAAATCTAAAATATTACCTCCATAGAACAAGCAGATACGACTGTAATACATGAAAAAAGACTCATATACCTAATTTCACACAAAAAAAGATGCAGTAAAATGAAAGCATTAAAAAGACCCACACATTAGACCCAGTATGTATCTTACACTTTATTTAAGTGTTTCTGTACATCAGGTCCCCAAAACCAAGGCCCACTCATAAATACAAAATTCATGTATCAATATGCATTTAGCTTACAAAATGCCATATCACATACAGAAATCTCCTAGATTATTATTCAGGCTGTTTTTCTTGGTTTTTTCCCCACTTTTACAGGTCTGTTTCTCATTTTTGAGAGCATCATTGGGCAACCAGGACTCCTGCTAAAGCCTGAGGACACCTTTGTTTCAGCAGAGCTCACTGTTTAGCTGGTGAAAGGAGCAGGGGCTGCCATGGGGGAGTATTCTCACCTTACGTTGTTTAACGCTCCTAGGTCTCTCCCAGAATCTTCAAGTACCAAGGAGAGGGTACTGAAGGCCAGGGTGGAGAGAGTCAGTCAAATTTAATATTTCAATTGTATAAATAGACTAAGGGTATATATCAGGTGATCCATTAATCCATTTCAAAAGATGTTCTTCTGCTATGGCACACACAACTTCTGAAATGAAAGCCAGGAATAAATAGCTAGGCTACACTTTTACTTCTGTACAAGAGTCCATGCAGCAGCGGCTTTTCCTCTTGGTTGACAGACCAAATGGTTTTGTCCACCACAGGGATATTAATCTTCCTCTTTCTCAATGTAAGATTTAGTACCGACACGGGCCATTTGCCTTGCCAAATAGCGGTCCCTTGCTGACATGACTGTCTCTTCATTGCTCCGTTTGGCAAATTTGCTCATGCTCTCAGATGGCTTCTGTGCCTGTTCTTTCTCCTCTTTGTCCCCTTCTTCTCCAGCTTTACGTTTCTGCTCAGACAAAATTCCAGAGCTGGATCTTCCCTTTTCATCCACCTCTCTCTCCTTTCCCTTCCTCTCTTTTTCCAAACCAGTTTCTCCATCTTTTGCTAAAGATGTAGGAGTATTTTCCCTCCTCCCTTTATATTTCTTTTCATCACTACCATATTTCTCCCTCCTCTCCTTCACATGATCTTCCTTTTCTCTGCATTTCTCTCCTCTCTCCTTCTCTCTATCATGATATCTGTCTTTACCATTCCTTATTCTTTCTTTCTCTCGTTCCTTTTCTGAGCCCTTCTCTTCTCTCTCCTTTGCCTTCCTCCATTCTCTGCCATGTCCCTCCCTCTCTCTTCTTTCCTTCCCCCTTTGTTTATCATCTTGCTCTTCCCTCCTTCTGTAGTTATCTTTACTAGTGTGATCCCCATATCTATGTCGCTCTTCCTTTTCCCTCTGATGATCCTTTTCGTGGGTGCTACTTCTCTCATAATCTTTTTCCCTGTATTGTTCATCATGTCCCCTTTTGCTTGGTCTGCTCTCTCCCCTCTTTGCAAGATGATTTTTGGCTTTTGTGCGCAAATCTTCCTCCACACTGGATGAGCTTGGTGACCTAGAAAGCCTCTGGATCTTGTGATGTTTAGCCTCCTCTTCACTGCTCACAGAGCTCTCTCTCCTTTTCTTCTTTTTCAAATTTACTTTACTATGTTTGTGTCTCTTATCATCATCGCTATCATCAGTTCCTAAGTCAGTATCAGCGTCCGGATTATTCTCTTTCTTAGGAGAGGGCTTCAGTCTTTGCCTTTCATTTGGGCATTTGTTCCTTTGGTTGGATTCATCATAACTACTGTCAGATTTTTCTTCCTTTATCCTGCATTTTTTTATTTTGAAAAAGAAAAAACAACATTACACAGCCTGAAATCTCAGTCTTTTCTACAAAATGACTTCCGGTCACGACTTTTGCAAAAGATTCTGCTGAGAAGTCTAAGAAAGCAAATTTATCTGTGGCTCAGGTTCCAGGAATCCAGCGCACAGGACTTCTATCAAGTATCTCTACCTGATTCACTGGTGAATGTGAGCTGATGAATTTACCTAAAACAACTATGGTTAAGTATCTGTAGCCTCCATCTAAGGAAAAGGACACAGATTTGTGTTCTTGTGTAGACTTTTTGGCAAGCTACACATTTTTCTCCTATGTGTTTATTCCTCTATTGACATCAAATAATTATCCAGATGAAGAAGGAGGTTGTATGTTTTGTTGACAGAGGCAGGAATGTACCTTCCATTAGTAGTAGATTATTTTTAATCCAGTATTTACTATCTTCTAACAGTTCATAGATTCTTAAATATAAAAAGCTGACCCATGGAGGAGACAGAACGGTTACGTTTTGTCATTCTTTTCTGACTGACAAGGAAATACATGTTTACTTGCACAAGCCACATCTCTCTTCTTTGTAATCATACAGCTACAGTAACAGCCTGTGGTAAATCCCTATGAATCAGCGCACCATCGAGTTAGACTGAATGATGCATGCTTGAAAACATGGTTAGTCTATGAACAATTACGCTGAAAAGTTTGATAAATTTATTTGGTAATTCAATTAATTAAAATGACAAGTCAAAAGTGGATCACTTTAGCGACTAGTGATGCAAACTCTGAGATCTAAAAATTGAGCTGTTTTTTTCTCTGTATTGTATTGTACCACCACAAGAAAGAATATAATTAAAATATACACCTGAGCTTATTTGAAAGCCTTGCTGGGAGCAACATTTACAGTACTACTTGTTTTCCCCTGAATTCATTTTATATACAACTCACAAAAGGAACATTTCCTTAATTTGCAAGATTAAGAAACCATCATTTCAAACGATCTCTACACAGTAGAAAAGTACATCCTCCTGAAGATGCTCTGAAAGAACTGTTAAAGCAAATGGACAACCAAGTGGGCTGACCACCACTGCTACTGTTTTGATAAAGAGATGCAAATGAATAACTTAGATTTCATCAAGAAAAAGAAGAATCTATAAAATGGAAAATTCATTTAACCACCTCAGTAGCAGTCTTTGTGCACCACTGAAACCCTAATAATCCAATCTCAGATCTAGATCACCTCTTGATGAAAGCTGCATATTCTTTGTGATAGCAAGCATTTAACTACTGACATCCAGGTCTAAGGCCTATCTTAAGTGAGGTTTAACCTGAAGTAATTGTTTCAAATGATCTCTTGCTGCATATAGAGAACACATCCCCTTCACCATATTTATCCACACGGCAGAATTTCATCATCTCAACTACATAACTAATCCAGCCTCATCTCGTTACTTTGCTTGGGAATGTGCATATATTAAGATTTTAAAATATTCCTGATGGATTTCCTATATATTTGATTAATTTCCTTTACCACAGCATCAACACTCAATTAACTTATTTTTTATGAATCTGTAAATGTGGAATAAGTACAGAGTTAGAGACTCACATTTTTTTTTAGGTAATTCATATCACAACATCATTTCCTATGACTTACCTCTATGCTCATTATTTTACCTTCTGTCTCCCTCACGATTCAAAATATATAACTTAATGCAGATTGCCAAATATTATATAAACAGAAAAAAATACAAGTTAGAATAATACCAAGCAGTATCACAAGTATGAGTGTCCTTTTAATACTTTTTAAATAGCATCCTTCTCCTGTCTTATAGTCTATACCCCTGATGATCATTAGACGTTTTCCAAATAATTCAGTTACTGAGCTGTATAAAGTATCAGCTTACACCACCAGCGTTTTAGTGGTCTCTGTCTAATCTTACAGAGTCCCAGTGAGTCTGGAATCACAAGCAGCCAGAAGCTGGTTTATATCTGAAAGCCTTTCGGAATTGCATCCTACCTGGCTTCACGGAAGCTGCATTTAGGCATCTCTTCTTCCCCTACCGTCTGGTTTAAAAGATGTCTGTAAAACCCACTGAGATCCTTCTGTTTGGTCACATCCAGGTACGCTAAGAGAAAGAAAGAAAGATTGGATATACTGTGCCACAAATATTCACCCAACACAACTCGCAACTGGTGGACACCACCAGACTGCAATCTCTATCCTGGAGGTTTTCAAGCCCAGAGCAGAAAAAGCTCAGATCAACCCAATTTGACCTCACAGCAGATCACGCTTTGAGCAAAAGGCTGGAATATGGAACGGATAAGATTCATCTTATGATCCTATATCCTATTCTTTACAGGTGTTCCTGTAAAGCATGTCTGAAGTAAGGAGTGTAAGCACCACTGTACCCCAGGCTAATGGGTCTTCCTTCAAGAACGGACCCTTCCTCAAAAAGTAAAAGTAGCAACCCAATCAGTACTGACACACAAACAGAGGCGCTCCCTCTGTTCCTTTAGTAACATGTACAAAGGAAAGTAACAGACAAGTGGGATCTGATTCAGTATCTGCTATCCAGTCCTTATTGATTTTTGTTATCTCAAGTCTCACAGGGAGATGAGATGACAATGTTGTAAATCAGCAGAAGGCCATACTTCTTTTCAAGGGGAATTATTGCAGTGTGACTCTCACCCTCGAGAGCTGCCTCTCTTCTTTCTCTTTCCTCCTCCTCAGCCCTTTCTTGCAGCTTCTTCTTATAGGCTGAAGTCACAAAAGATTCCTTGTGAGCAAACTCTCCTCCTTCCATTTCACGCTCTTTCTGAATTTTTCTTTCCATTCTTTTCTCTTGCTCTTTCTTTCTGATCTCCGCTGCTTTGAGGATATTTTGTATGTATCTGGGCTAAAATAGCAGGGGGAAAAGGTATAATGTTGAGAGATAATGAAAGTACCTGAGAAAATACAAACTGGGATTGCTGGAGATGTTGAAGAAAGTTTGTAAAGAAAGAAAATGGACAGAAGCTAGTCTAACATATTCTCACACTGTTTGACAGCTATCTGAAATAAACTGTCATTCCCTTTTAGATCACTACCACGGCATCCTTCCCCATAACAAAAGAGGTTGCTGTATGCAATCAAAACATTCAGCCCATCTTTGACTAGGATTGTTTTCGCTGAGTGAAATTAAATGTTTTTTGATTTCTCACCCCTCTGTATTCAGCCTTGTCATGGTCTTGCCTTGCTATTGCTGTAAAGGAGTGGGAACCTGCCTTTTATACCCACATAACCTGACAAGAGCTTTCAAGTGAAACAGGAAAAGTAGCAATGAAAATATCACTTGTCAGGATAATTCATCAATGCTACAAAACAGGGCCGTGGAAACTGGTTCCCATTTTGCCAGTGAAAGTTAATTACTTTAGAATTCTGACAGTCCTCTGGTAAGCACACTAGTGAGTGAGGAAGGACGATTTATGTTCATCGGCTTAACAACCAAAGAGTCTTTATTATCAAAAGTAGTATTGTTGCAGGGCCTGCTGCCTCTAATCCTATTATCCCATTGGAACATTGTCTTCAGAAATAGACAGAAAGATATGCTATCCGTACATCCTCAATTGGGTGGGACACTTGTTGTCTGCTGACAGGCAGAACTCCACTAGATCAGGACTCTGCACTAAGAGTTTTGACAAAATTCTTGCAGATTACTACCTTATATAACAGGATCTGAGCACAGTACTTGTATGCCCCATGAGAAAATGCATTTGGCAAAGCTTAGAAGTTAAGCAATCAGAGTTATTCCAAGCATACAGAGATAAGACAGACAGGATACATTTTCAGGTATCGACCTTTTTGTCATCTTTTCCGGATAACACTCTGGCACTACTTTCTTTCTTCTTCTGCTGCATTTCATCATAAATACTGTCATATTCATACACTGTAGCATCTTCCTCCAAAGCCTTTTGAATCTCCAATTTAGTCTAAAAGAAAAAAAAAAAAAGGGAAGGGGAGAAGATATCAAAAAATGAAGCATGAAATTTTTTACTATTTACAAACATTTTATTCCTCTATTTAACAGATCTATGGTATAAATATATCCATTAGAACATTGAGTGTAAAATTACCTACAACGTTCTCAAACTGTTTACCAGGACTGAGACGATGAACAACCAAACAATGACCAGTAATTGCACTTACAGGAAATATAGGAAGCAAAGCACAACATTCAAAACAATACTGGAAACTTCTCAATCATTCCATCAAATAACACAAATAATTTTTTTATTAAACAGTAAACATTTCAATAAATTTTAGTGTCTGTTTTCATCTATAGTTTATCCCCCTTCCCCAAAGCTCAAAATAATAAATATGTACCAATGTAACTCGGGATATGATTCTGTATTTAACAGTTCTATCTTCTGTTTGTACAGCCAAGTTGGAAGTAAGAACTGTGAAACCGTTCTGTTTTTAAAAGCCCTATCAGAAAAAAACCAACCTTCTACAAATGAAACAAACAGTTTGAGAAATTCTAAAAACATCAATGCATTCAATGCCACCAACCAAACTTCAACATCTTGTGCATTTAAGTGCTTGCACTGAATAATCAGAAATTCTGTGTTTTAAGTTATGACCAGCTCTACGTTAAACCTCACTCGTGCAGCTTTCATTGTGCAGTTTTTCAGCTATTCTGATCACAGCCAGAATTTCATAAAGAACAATCTTGCCCAGAAAAATTAAACAAAATCTTTGCTAGACGAAAGGCTCTGAGGATTTCTAGTCAAGTTTTAAAGAAAGTCTTGTGCTGCAAAGAGCAAAGCACAAAATAATAAAATTAAGTGGAGTATTTTAAAGAGTAACTCTAACTCTGAAGTTGCACAATTATGTCTCTGCAATAATTTAACAAAAGGGAATGAATGCAGTAATTTCCGAATATGCCATGGGCATGAAGAGTTCCCACTGCATCTTACCTGTTTCATTGCTTGTTTTCTCAATGCTTCTTTCTGAAGACTTTCACCAACAGATGGCTATAAGAAGGAAACATTGCAGAAATAAAATTAATTACAGTGACACAGCTCATATGATTTTTTCTACCATTCTAATGAACAACTATATAATGTCCCACTGCATAAGTCAGTCTATCACTTCGATAGTATTTTTATGTAAGCAAGAAAAACTAAAAGCTCGTTCACAAGCACACAACGAATCAGCCTTTCCCATGAGCAAAGTATTGCAGTACCTCAATGTACATATGTATATATATTTTTATGAAAACGCTGATGAGTTTAAGAACACTATTTCAACAACATGGGTATCTCAAAGGCTGCATAAAATTTCATGCAATTTCACAAAACAAGCAATCTCTGTCCAAGAAATGCTCAGAGACATGTGAGGTCAACACCCTGGATACCACAGCCTGCTGATTATTTAGGCTAGAATCGGATAGAGTCTCTTATTTATTTATGTAGCTGGTTGGCTGGTGGACTAGGGGAAGGGGATAGCAGATCATTTAGTTTAAAACAATCTACAAGAATCCTGGCTTCATTCAACTAGTATTTACCTCTGGCTTTCAAGACTGACAAGACAATGTTGAGAAATATTTAAAACACCATACTTAAATTTTTATGTCATATACTTTCTTCTGAAAAATGCTATAAATGAGTCAGCATAAACTTCTTAATATAAACAACTATTTTAATTTGGCAGTGGAACACACACCAGCATTACACGGAAGACCTAGACTTCCTCCTCGCTCTTGGGGAAGAAGATGATTCTCTACTTGACATCACTGAAGGTTTCATTTATCAGACACTCTTACAGCAGCTTTACAGAAAGGGACCTAAACAGTAAGGAACCTCCTCTGCATTATGCCAGAAAGCAAGGGCTCAGTAAAAGGCAAAACAGATTCTGCAGTTCTATTTACAGAATAACCTTTATTCCATCAAAATATTTGAAACACTGCTTACAATGTTTTCCTTGTCTGCCTACATGAAATAAATGTGTTAATCTACAAAGATTACATAAACACAAAAGTAATAAACAATCCTCTTTATGGTACATGGAATTGGAAAGAAGTCCACCTGTGATTTGTTTGTCTAGAGTGGCAGTAAGTTTACGAACTCAAACACCTTCTCTGATGGTTTATGGGTGACAATTTCCTGTTGTGCCATGAGCTCTGACAGATGAGAACTTCCCGGTTTTTGTATTGTTTTTACTTATCAACCACCCATTTATTAAAGACCCTATAAGCTCAGCAATCTGTCTCTTTTTTTCAAGCTATTCTTCTGAAGCACAAAGCTTATAGTTTAATATTTTCTGGAAGGAGAAAATGTTTTAACCCTATCCTGTGACACTACACAGAATTCATGCAAATTAAGAAACTCTTAGAAATAAGACTCTCCAGTCTACCACTCCTACGAGACCATGGAAGATAGCTTCTACACAACTGAAAAAGTTTTCCAAAATTAAAAAAATAAAATTAAAAGAAATTACCCTGATCTACTAACATTTCTTTCAGGTTCTTAGGTGCTTGAGCTACCTCCTTGTTTTTATCCTGCAGGTAAGCACCTCTTGTAAGTTACTTCCTAAAGTGTCTTCTTTACATTGCTCCTACACAACCCAAGAAGAACAGACATTCAATCTACTGACCTGTGCCTTTGGCTTGCCTCAGCTACATTCAACTCAGGACAGAACATGCAAACCATTTACAGCTTTATACAAAAACCTGAATTCAAAGTTCAAATACCAATACCTAAAAAAGCAATTCCACAAATGAGACAACTAAAATTTCATTTTCTTACAAATTTGTCTTCTCTGCCTTCCCACCACAATGTCCCAGCTTCCCCACATCTCAGGTCCCAACTGCAGTTCCTTGATTTCCTTCTGCATCTCCTGCTTCCTCCTATCTTGCCTAGACTAGGCCACCAGCCCCGAGGGACAGAACGGAGGGTTGAGATCATCTTGTCTTTCTCCTCCCCAAGGGCATTAACGGGGTCTTTTTTCTGCCCTTAGAAAAGTCCAGTTTTGTCAAATTCACTTGAAATTGGCCACTACCTTCAGAAACTTACTATGGGCAAATGTCAGACAATGAAATCTATAAAGCTCTTTTTAGAAAACCAAACAGAAAACAGGACAGCAAATTATTTACCTGAATGTGCCTAGTTCAAAGACTACTCGGGCTCTATTTATTCCTCTGAGTTGCTACTAATTTGTCTTGTTTGTTCTTGGGAAAAAAAGCCAGTTGCTGACACTGGGTTTTTAGAAGTAATTCCTCCTGAACTGCTGCTGTAAATGGCATAACTTCTGGAGCAGAGGGTGCAGCACCATTTAAACACAGCCTCAGAAAACAAGTCTTAGTCTGTGACTGGCATCATTTTCAGTGTTGAAGTTGGTTTCTAGGAAGTTACAACCTTAAATCTGAATCTGAGAATGTCTTGTAAAAAAAAGTCACAACTATTTTAACAGACGCTCTCAACATGTATGTGAGATGCCTGACTTGTTTTTCCTCACTGACTGCCACAAGAAGGACAAGACCAACAAATTCTGACATAATAGCTATTATTAATGGAGTATCTCCTATTACCTGCGTAGCCTGCCTCCTAAGGAAAAGCATTTGTGGCTGCTACCAAACCCCAGGCATGGTACTTACTGATAGACGATATAAGAGATCACTCCATTCCTTTTTTAAAACCACAAAGGTGCTTCTGCTCTAATATCACCTATTCTGAAAGACCAATGTGGGGGCCTTGCCGTTTAACATTGCCCTTTTGAATTCTCTACGTGTTGCTTTACAGCAGACATACAAAATAAATTACCTTTGTTGAAAGTGAAATACATTTTAAAGGGAAATTAAATGCTTCAATGATATCAGGCAGATTGTATGTAGCTTGATTTTAATCTCTCACTACAACCATCTAGGTTTTACTGGATGTACAGAAAAGTATTTGCCCAAACAGCAACAGCAGGAAAATTTGGACCTTTATTTGATGAGGAAGTAAAAGACGCACAGATAGTCAGCCAGTCCACAAAAAGAAAATCTTACGTTGATACTGAGCTAGCCAGTCCAAGAGAACTTTGTTAAAGACAGAAAAAGAGACACTTTCAGAGCACAACTGACCTCCCTGATTTTAGACGTCCACTTTACAATGAGGTAAGCTGTGCCTCAGGAGTACCTGCATCTCTACTGACTGTACAGGGAGCTCAGGGGACCCAAGTGTAGAGAAGGAATCTCAGACGGTGAGATCTGTGGATTCATGATGCTTTGGTATCAAAACATCTTAAAATGAGATATTTACTCTCTCATGTATATGTATCTAGCAGTGAATTGATAAGGCTTGCCCTCACGGAGACCTGTATTATCCAACTACAGCCTGCACACGGGTGATCACTAAATGTACAAGAGACTCAAGTCTTCAAGGGGTGGGGGATGTGGAATCAAGTCAGGCAACACATTGATCTCAATTCAGACACTATACGAGTCATGGCTACGAGCAGAAGATTAGGAGAAAGAACATGAAAAACAAGTCACATCCAGAATTAGCTTTCCTCGATGTTCCCTCCTACCTTCCCTAACGGGACTTCCCGAACTGGAGGATGCACCTGGACCATTGTTTGACACCAAGAGCGTCTCTTAATTTGACTAATTTCTGAATCCATTTATATTTTTGGCCATGCCACAATAACCTGTGGCAATGAGTTCCACAACTTAATTATATATTGTCTGGAGACAAAACCCCAACTTCCTTTCGTTTAGATCAAACCAGTTACTTGGTAATTCCGTCATACACCCTGCTGCTCATATTATGAGAAATGTCAAAATCACTTTACTTTGTCTGAACCATTCTTGATTTTACATACATCCTCTCAAGTTATTCCTTTCTACATCCTTCTCCTCAGTAACCTTTTTGTAAGAGCCCTTTAGTCAATTTAGACTTATTTTCCAAGAAAACTGTTGCATAAACTCTGGTCACCATCAATACTCATTACTTTACCAACCTTCTGTTTTTTTAAGTCATACTGCAACTTTGCAAAGTTGCAAATTGAATGGAAGGATCTGTAAGCAAAGCCAAAAACCTGAGTCTGAAACACAATACAGTTTTCTGCTTGTTTTCAGTTCCTTCCATTGTGCCTGCTTACACACTCCATTTATCTTTTAGATGGTCACTAAAAAAACCCACCAAATCAAGCTCATACATTCACAGAACTACCCACACTGACTCCACAATCTCTGTCCTAGATTTAGCACCTACTGTGGTCTATGTGCTGTTATATTTTCAGGTACACTTTACAACCTGTAGCAACAAATGAGTTTTGAAAGCCTTACCAGCCTGGTACAGGAATGTATGTTGAGTAATTCTGATACAACGAAGAAACAGAAATTTTATCTGGTGTACCACACAGATATTTTCAACTAAATTCCAAAGATAAAACTGAACACGGAACAGCGCACTGGGAATATTTACAAGCCACCTTTGAAAACACAATGCATGAATAAGGGGATAATGTTTTTGGAGAAAACGAATATATCACAAATAACAGTAAGACAGAAGGGAAACTTATTTCTAACATATCACAGTTTGTAGCTGTAACATCTACTCTCTACAACAGGCTTTCCTAAGGGCAACAACTCTCCCCCCAGTTTTTAAAGGTGGCAACAACTCCTGATTATGAAGGCAAATAATTCATAACTGTATCGGCTAGAAGTAACTGTCATTGCCCACTTTACTTTTGCCCAGTCAACACCACTGTATTTCAAGAAAACGTCCATCCCAGATGTTCTGTTTCTTATGACCTAACCCCAACATCATCTTCATCAGCAACTAACATCCATTAACGTACTCAGCCACAGCAAAAAACCCTTTCCAATTATTTCAGCAGGGGTACATCCACACTGTTAATGAAGTGTGCATAGTAACATTTAAAAAGAAAGGGAGCAAAAGTTTGATATCTAATATATAATCACAGACCAAGTCAGGTGTGCAGATTTCCCAGCACAAACTTTATTAGAGTTCAGTTAAAAATACACAATCTCCAGACATTTGAGATGTAGTTCTGACTGATAAGGCAGCAGACAGGAAATGAAACCCCTCCCAAATGCTGCTCCTTATCTTGAAAAGCTCTGAAATGATTACTGAACTAATAAAGTAATTTTGCTTTTTTTTAAAAAATGATCTTTGATAAAGGCAGTTATGAGATTATTACTTTTTGCTGGGTATGTACCATACCGATGAGCACGACAACTTTTAAGAGTCTTTATAACAGACTCTGGTAGTGAGTCCGTCAGCCCTTCTGAAAGGGAGGATACTTGATCTGTTAAGCTAAAAATTTAGCAGACAGCATCATACATTATTGTTATTGGAATTATTAGCATTCATTATTTGCTTTAATGTTTAGATATTAAGAGAAAATGGAGTAGTGACAAAAACACAAGATAGCCCTATACTCAGGAAGGTTCCCAGTCCTACTGGGTAACGTTTAATGACAATAGATTAAACCAGGCTCACTCCTGGAATCTGGAAAATGTGGAGTCAGTCCCTTAACACAGAGAAAGCCACCAAATCCCAGACTGGCAGGGAAAGTGCTCCGGACATGGACAGCAATCCACTGTCACCTCCACCAGCTGTATGTAAAGGAAAGGCTCTTTAGAGCCACGGTGCCAGCTACGAGCTCAAGTGGAGGGACGCACGTTCTGAGAGCGCTGAGGACAGCGGCTAAGTGAGAAAAGAGATGGGATTTAAGACACGTTCCTGTCCTCTCTGTTTCCTGTGAGTCCTGTAAACTGCACTGAGGCAGTTCCATGTTGAGGGTTGAGTGGAGGTCACTAGGAAGGCCCTCAGCCCTTTCCTGCCCTGTATAAAGGGAGCTCAGACACCTCAACAGCAGCATCCTGGATTCTATAACGGAACCAGGTACAGAGAGACAGGGAATTGCTAGGTTCAGGCTTTCTGTGACATAACAACTGCTAGTTCATTAAAAAAACATTTTAAAAATAAATGTTTTGATAATGAAGTCAGAAACTGACAAAGGTTACTTGATGCTTTATTAGCATTTTTTTTTCAACCACACAAAAGAAAGAGCATTGAGTGAAGCTCTAAAGCAGCAAGAACTTTTTTGTAACACGGGTTCTGTTTTTCATTTCAAATGATTTTAAATTTCAACTTCTTAAAATGTTAACATTCTAGACTAAGGGTACATGTAAAGCTTATTTTTTGAGTTTTGCGGAAAAAAGCTAAATATGCACACAATGACACTATGATTAAATTATCACAAGTAATTCCAGATCGATGAAACACAGTAAATTATAACATAATGTCCAGAAAGCCGCACCTGCGCGAAGAGTTCATCTCCACAATTCTGAGTTTCTATTCTTTACCTGTAAACTACGAAGCTACTAGCTTTAAATCTTTCAAAAATTCTGTTTTAGAAGTTGAGTTTCTGTAAGGTAACCAAACCAGCCTATATACTACGCCAGTCCCTGGATGCTCCCCATTCTCACAGCAGCACATCCAGAAGTGCCATTTTTCTAGTGTACAGCACCCTCTACTGGGGCAGGTAGAAAGCCGATATTTTGAAGGTAGTACTTAAAAAAAAATAAAAATTAAATGACACTATCAACACCATGCAATATAGCCATACCTCACAGAGTATCAATAAACTCTGTGATCACCGAAAAGTTGTGTACTGTTCAACTTAATATTACAAATATTGTGAGTACTTCCAGTACAAGTAATTCTCATTAATTGCCCCTTTTTATTTTTTTGCTTTAGAACCTTTGAGTTGTACAGCTTTGCTTTTGTTTACAGTGCGTCCAAACATCATAAATCAGTTATATCAGATGTGGATGGAATGAACTAAAGGATAAAATACACCAATCAGCTACACTTTAAAGTTAATATCTGAGCAACGCCTGTTGATTACTACTGCTTTTCTGTTTGCAGACATATTTACCAGTGACAGCCAACAGATTTCTTTGTGAGCTAGATACTGTTAACTCTTCCAAACAGGTTGCCACATGTGATGAACTTCTGGAAGAGCTGACAGAAAGTAACTAACAATCAACTCACCGCTTCCATGTAACTCGCACTACACAAAACACAGATCATATTTTACGCCTAAATCCAAAATGATGACACGTGTCTTAGTGAGACTGACATAAGCTGAGGCAGACATTAAGGGTTGTAAACAAATAATTTGCAGAATATGGGGTAAAGCTCAGAAGAAAATTGAACTGACCTCTTCGTCAGAGTCATCTGCAAACACTGAGAGTTTCTTCGAAGCAAGATCTTTCTGTGGCAATTTTTTTGGCATAATGAGCCCATATCTAGGGAAAAAAACCTAAAAGTTACCTTTAGCATTACTTACAACAAAGCATATAGCACATTCCAAACCAAAAATCTACCACTGCCAATTTTAGAAACAAAAGATCAGCATCAACCTAATGTATCGAGTGTAGATCTGAGCAGCATTTGCAGCAGCACAGTCAGCGTGCCACACGCTTGCCAGCTTCTCCCACAGCTACTGCTGTCTTTTGCTATGCAAAGTTTCTCGACATAATGATCATTCTAAATCAGGCTGCAAATCCCTCTCATCCAGAGTTCTCCAAGTGTT